GAGGAGCCCCATTCCATAAGCATGGGCTGGCTGGGGCAGGGCAGTGGCCCCTGGCTCCGGGACCCGGGAGCTCAGAACTGCCCAGTGGTCCTGGAGGTGGGTCTGGCACTCTCCTGGAGGAGACATCCATTCGGGTTGAGGGCACTCCCAGGGCCTTCTGGATCTGGCCTGTCCTGCTTTCCCGAGGGGCAAGAGGAGGGGGACAACATGAGGTGAGCTTTTTTTTTTTTTTTTAAAGATTCTTGAAATTTATTCATGAGAGACACAGAGAGAGAGGCAGAGACATAGGCAGAGAGAGAAGCAGGCTCCATGCAGGGAGCCCGATGCGGGACTCCATCTTGGGCTCTGGGATCATGTCCCAGAGCCAAAGGCAGACGCTCAACCGTTGAGCCACCCAGGTGCCCCGAAATGAGCTTTTCGGAGCAACTGGGAGGAGAGACTGTTTTCTGCTGAATGAGGTCAGTGAATATGAATTGAACTCGCTCTAGCTTGTGGCCGGATGATTAGGGCACATGCTTTTTAAATAAGGATGGTCTCTGTGGCTTCAGAAAGGAGCATTGTGGAGAGTGGTGAGGGACAGCCTTCAATGGGGGATACTCTAGAGCTGTGCTGTCCAATGTGGTGGCTGCTAGCTACCTGTGTTGAAATTTGAATTAGTCACAATGAAATAAAATTTAAAATTTAGTTCCTTAGGCACACAAGTCACATTTCAAGAGCCAGAACATAATAGGTGGCTAATATGTGCCTAAAAGGGTGAAAACGGGTCTTGCAGGTCTGCTGTGAGACTTGCCCCAGCTGAGGATGAGCCAGCAGACGGTGACCAGATGCTTCCCGAAGGAGGAGACACAGGTGCTGGAATGCCTCCCAGTGCCTCCCACTTCTCAGCATCTGTGTGAAGCTGGGCCTCTCCCTGCAGAGGGGAAAGCTGGTTCCATGCTGCAGGGCTCAGTGAGAACCTTCAGGTTGGTTTATGCTGGGCCCCAGGGCTCCTGTGTGGCCTGTTGGAGATACCACAGGGCTTGTGAAGCCTGGGGCTTTGGGTCTTGTCTGGGGGCTGCCAGCAGCATCCCCTCTTTGGCCCCAGGTGGGCATGACTGTGCCCAGCCTCCCCGAAGCCCCCCACCTCCCTGCCCCCAGCCCTGTCTTGCTGAAGCTGTCCGGCACCATTTGCTTCTGGCTGGGGCTGGAGTGGTCACCAGCAGCCTTGGGGAAAGGCTATAATTAGCAGAGAGGACTGGATGGGATTGATTACATGCTGGCACTAACAGTTTATTTTATACTCAAATGCAAACACAAATTGATAGTGTCGGAGATGCAAATATCATTGGAAATCTTGAAGTTCCTGGGAGGGGTACGACTGCTTCTCTCCAGGCCCACTACCCCTTGAGCACTTGAATGAGGAGCCCAGAGTGGCCCATGCTGTGTGGGAGCCACCCCCCCTTGGGGGTTGTCTGCCCAGCCTGGAGCCCCCCTGGCTGGACCAGGAGAAGTGGGTGTGTGATGGCTCAGCACACAGTGCTGGGGGACTTGGGAGGCTTGGCTTTGGGTTTGCCACAGTTTTTCCTATGGCTTCAGTGGTCTGGAAATGTTGCAAGGCTGACTAGCAAGGAAAATGCGACGCTTTGCTACAGGAGGGAGAGCACACCAAAGGAAGTTTTATTTCCTGCCGCCAAAGCCATTCTGGAGTGGACCCCGAGGCTCTAGGGAACTTGTAAAAATAGAAGAAGCCACTGACTGACTTTCTGGAGAGGGCTGGGGTCAGTTCTGCCCTGGTGTTTTGGAGATGGTTTCTAAAGCAGGCCACCTGAACCCAGAAGCAAAGCCTCAGGCGGGAGTGAGGGAGGGGCACAGGCTGGGGGCCCTCCAGCCCAGAAGACCTTTTTTTTTTTTTTCTTTCATTTAAACCAGAAACAAAAAAGTCTCAGAAGTGTATGGAATCAATTCTGAAAGTACTAAGATGTTATCTTGTTGGGTCAGCGAGAGCAGAACTACATTTTTCATCAAGACAGAGGATAAAACCCCACCTCTGTCACCCTTAAGGACACCGTGTCCTTGCATATTTAATTCAGTACCTGCGTGAGCTCTCAAGACTTCTGTCCATCTGTGCATCTGTCCGTGTGGGGTCTTTTTTAAACCGTGATCTTCAGCTTTGGGGTGGAGGGATCTCTGGGCTCTGCGGCTGGTTCCAGATTGGGGTTGAGGGCTTCCAAAGAAGTCCAGTGATTCTGAAGAGGGAGGCTGGGCTTTCTTACAGCTGCTTGCTCCTGATCTCTGAGGACCCCCAGGGCATAGGCTGGCCTTGAACAACGATTTCACCTTGTTCTGGGTTTGGGAATGTGAACTGACCTGATGGCCTCTGACTGATCTTGCTCTGGCAAAGGTAGATTTTACCTCCTGTGATCACCATTTTCATGTACGAAGTTTCCAGTGTGTGTGTGTGTGTGTGTGTGTGTGTGGTGCCTTAGAAATTTAAACATTCACCCGGTGGGTAATTTGATGACATCATTTCCCTCACAGTTTTCCTGATATGGTCAACCTGTTGATAAGTAGCTCCTGGCGAGTCTGGCGGTGACTTTCGCATCTCCTGGCCCGTGTATTGGAAAGGCATCCCTTTCAGACTAGGGGGAGTGTGTCTCGGTAACCCCGGATTATCTTTTTGAACCAAAGGGAATGGCATTTAGCTATGAAATGCAGCAGAGGCCCGGACCTGGGCCCGGGGAGACAGCTTCCTGGCAATCCTCTGTTATCCGGTGTTTCTGGATTGTTCTGTTTGACTTTTGGCATCCCGGCCACTTGCTTGTCAGAGCTTCAGAGACAGCAGGCACTTCGTTTACCCAGGAGAGTCTTAGTACTCTTTAGAAGGAAGTCAAGGGGATCTATTTTGAGGGCACGTTGGAGTCAATTTAAGGCCAGTAGGTAACTGGAGAGGCGGCCTCCTTGGTGTTCTGGCTGTCGACGCTAGGGTTGCTATGTTTGTGGCCTGCCTCACCAACATCCTGTCTGTATTACCCCTCACTTCCTTTGCTCGGACCTTAGCTGGCCACCCGGTGGTTCTGGTTTCTCTCCCACACCACCTTCTCCTTGGTGGGGAAGTCCAGCATAGCGATTTGTCTTTGCCCTCAGGAATGTGTGGCCCGGAAAGTCAGAATCCTTGGACAGGCAGGAGACGGGGTAGACAGCGTCAGACGCAAACCCAAGGGGGTTGAATGGGAAGTCCGGCTTACATCCCTTCAATACACGTTGATTGTAAGCACTGATTGTACTTCCTAAATGACTGGACTGCAATGGGTTCTGGGGCTGCCCAGAGCAATCGGAAAATCCCTCCTGACATGGAGCGTATAGTCTCTGTGGGGAAGACAAAAAATGAGAAAGTAAAGGAAAAATGGTTGCATGTTAAATACTGGTAAGTGCAAAGGAGAAAAACAGGACGGGGAATGGGACTGAGAGTTTCAGGGGGAAGGATTTTCTACTTTTAGATAAGATGACCCGGAAAGGCCTCACAAAGCAGCTGGCAATTGAGCAGAGACAAGAGGGAGGTGAAGGAGTGAGCCCTGTGGATGTCAGGAGGAAGAACATGCTAGGGAGTGAGAACAGCATGTGCAAAGGCCCTGGGGTGGCACACTTAGTGTGTTCCACCAGCAGTAGGAAGCCCAGTGCTGCTAAAGCCAAGAGGAAGGGGAAGGAAATAAGAGGTGAACTCAGACAGGTTGTGTGGGCCTATCATCTGTGATTAGGGTTGTGGCTTTTATTCTCAGTACACAGAGAACCAGCCTGATCTGATTAGGGACTGCCTGGTCGCTCTGGTGTGGAGAATGAGCCGAATGGGGCCAATCAGGGCACTATCCGAGGGCGGCAGTGTAGCCCCAGGCTTGTCTGAGGCTTGGGCATAGTGTCAACTGATAAAACTCCCTGGAAATTTAGTACGAGAGTTTTAGCTTGAGAGAAAAGAGGGGCCCTCCTAGGGCTTTGCGGCCTGGTTTTTCCCGATGGAGTTCTACAACAGTCATGTTTCTACTGTTGGGAAAGTTGATTAACAAGGAATTCAACTTAAAAATCCCCTCAAAATTCCTCCTCCTCCAACCTCTCCACCCTCCCAATGGTCCTCCTGCAAATACATGCCATGCGTATGGATGCCGTGTACAGTGCCCGTCTCTCTGAGCAGCTCTGAAATGTCCTTGGGGTGACCTGCCTGTGCAGTAGACATCACAGTGGCCCCAAGCTTTGGGGTTTATAGCGTTTCCACTTTCCTTATCTCACAAATGCCTTGCCAAAACCTGGGGTGTGAGCAGGGCAGAAACAAGTGTCTTCGTACCATTTTTCAGATGACAATGTAGACCTGTGTCCAACACCTGTCCGAGGCCCACGGTTAGCAAGTGGCGGAGCTGGGACCCACACCCAGGTCCTCTGAGACCCTCCAACCAGTGGCATTTCCCCTGACTCACCAATAGTGTCCTCTAAAGGGGCATTTCCAAATAGGGTCTGTGCCAGTTTTCTAGGGCTGCCCTAACGAAGTGCCATAGATGCTGTGGCTTCAACCACAGGGATTTACTTCTTCATGACTCTGGGGACTAGAAGTCCAGGATTAAGGTTTGGCAGAGTTGGTTTCTCCTGAGGCTTCCCTCTTCGGTTTGTAGATGGCTTCCTTCTCCCGTTGGTGTCCTCACACGGTCTTCCCTCTGTGTGTGTCTGTGCCCTAATCTCTTCTTATAAGGACACCAGTCATATTGGATAAAGACCCACCCATATGACCTCATTTTAACTTAATTACCTCTTTAAAGACTCTGTCTCCAAATATAGTCACATTCTGAGGTGCTGGGGGTTAGGGGTGCAGCGTATGAACTTTGGGGGAGTACAGTTCAGCCTAGAGCAGGTTCCCTCATGTATGATCACCTGGGGGTGAGCCCCCCAATGGCAGGCACCATAGCTCCCAGATGAACTCTTTGTAGGAAACGCAAGTGACTGCCAGTCTTTCTCTCTCACTCCCTGCTTTCTTGCTGCAGCTGATCGGAGCCCTGGTCCTGTCCGTGGGGATCTACGCAGAGGTGGAACGGCAGAAATATAAAACCCTTGAAAGTGCCTTTCTGGCCCCAGCCATCATCCTCATCCTCCTGGGAGTCATCATGTTCATCGTCTCCTTCATCGGCGTGCTGGCTTCCCTCCGTGACAACCTGTGCCTTCTCCAAGCGGTGAGTTGGCCCCATGTACCAGTAGGCAGGGGGGGTCCTTGGAGTCCCCAGGAGAGCTGGGGAGACTGGCCCTGGACCCTTGGGCAGCCCAATTTTTTCAGTTCTTGCCTCAAACCAGACTTTCTAGAAGGTTCTCTGGATCAGCCTACCTGATTCACTCTGGCCTAGGAGAGACCAAGCCACCTCCACTTTTGGTGTAGAGGCTGATTTGAATACCATCCTTTATATTTAAACCCTGCGTTGGTCTGGATCTCAAGTTGCCAGTGGGAGGAACCACACTCAAATGAGAGCAAACAAACCCAAAAATCACTGGTGGTGAGTCTTTGGCTCATGTAATCAGCAAACCCACACTGGGACCTGGGGTTTAGATGGTGCCCTTGGGTTCTCTCTCTTTTGCCACCTCCCGGCTGGACACAGGGCTTTGTCCTCACGCTGTCTTTGCAGTGGTCCCAGCAGTCTCAAGCCAACAGGGCCTTTTCAGCTTCTGATCCAGCGAATCTTAACTGGCAGCCTGTGACCAAAGTCCCAGGACTCTGATGGGCCTACTTGGGTCAATTGCCTGGTCTGGGATCAGGAGGTGGGGTCAGCCCCACCTGACCTCCTTTCTGAGAAGTGAGAAATGGCTCCCCAAAGCTGGGGGTACTGGGTAGGCAGATCCATTCATTCTGCACCCACATGTGTGTTTGATCTCACTGTCACCCCTCATGTGGGAAGCTCCTCAAAGCCCTCACAAGCAGAGCATTGGTGCTGCCTGAGGCTGGAAGTTGCTGGCCTCGGTTTGGACAATGCCTGCCCTATGATAAGGGGTAGAGGTGGGGGTATATCCTTCAAGCCTCAGACATCCCCTCACCCACTCTGGGGGCTCTGGGAAGCCACTTCTGAGGGGTTCTGCAGGCAGACCTGGAGATGCTGGCCCAGCCTTCCCATCAGGCCAGGCCTGCCCGCTCTGGGTCAGCTGCAGTGAGGACCAGCTCTCCTCATGGCGGTGGTGGTGCTGGGAGGGGGGGTTTCCTACCCAGACTCTGCTGAGGAACCCCGGACACACCTCAGTAACAATCTGGCCTGGACAGCTGAGTCACCCTTCCTGACCACTGACTGGCCACAGAGATGGGTTTTCCCGGGGAATATCTGTCACATCCTGTGTCCTCACAGTAGGAAAGAGCAAAAGGCCCAGGAGCCAGTAAGAGCTCCAGCAGAGATGATCCTCCTTATCATACTTGACCTCAGAGCAAATGGCGCTTCTCTTGCCTCTCTAGGCGAATCTCTGAATTTTGTTTTTCAGTTTATGTACATCCTTGGGATTTGCCTCATAATTGAGCTCATTGGTGGTGTGGTGGCCTTGATCTTCCGGAACCAGGTGGGCCTCTGGCGCGTGCAGCAGCCACGTGTGTATGCTGAGCACCCACTGTGTGTGCCCTGGGCTGAAAACTAGGGGTGGGCAGAGGGCGGGGTCGATAATTCCCTGTGGAAGGTTCATTCTGCTGGGGAGCTGGGCATTGAACAAGTAAACCAGAGAACAAGAAGAGGTGACAGGTGAGCGTCTGGGGCAGATGAGGGAAGGAGGAAGGAATGAAAAGGAACCTTCCAGATGAGGCTCAGGGGAAATGAAGGTCTAGGCAGAGGGAATCACTGAGGCAGAAGGGAGCTTGGCAGGTTTGTGGACCAGCGTGCAGGCCGCTGGGCTGCAGCAGGTGAGTGATGGAGAGGGGTGGAAGGCAGTCAGAAGGGCCACCAGGGCAGATCTCCTAGGTCTTCGTAGGCCACAGTTTAGGGGCTTGGATTTTTTTCTAAGTTTCCTCTGTCTGTAGGAAGACTTTGGAGAGTTTTACAGGGAAGACGTGATCTGATTCACAGTCTACTCGCCGCTGAGTGGAGAATGGGCAGTAGGTAGGCAGGGCGGACGTGGAGGGAACCAGCTCGAGGCTGTGGCCGTCATCTGGGGTGGAGGGGGGGTGATGGGTTGGCCCTGGAACGGTTGGCAGAATCAGGGCCCCTTGAGCTGGCCAGGTTCTTGGGGCCTCTGGTCTCCAGCTCCTTCTCTTGTGGGCTGTGTGCGTGTCATACTGGCTGTGTGACCCTGGGCGAGTCATAGAAGCTTGTGAAGGACCCGGCGTGGTTATGGCCCCCTGTGGATCCTGGGTACATATCAGCTCCTCTGTCCTGATGCCTGGAGAGGAGAAGGGACTTGTCCAGGGTCCCAGAGGGAGCTCGGGACTGTGTGGGGCTGACTTCCAGCCCAAGCTCTGTCATCTCTCCATAATCTCATTCCTTCGCCCTCATCCCCCTTCCGTGGTGGAGGTGGGACTTGGGGAGCAGGGCAAGTTTGCATTAGTTCTGTTCTGTCTGCCTCCACCCCAACCCCCGACCCTCGGTTCCTGGCACTTCGGGGCTGGGGCCACATTGTCTTTCTCAGCAGACGTTGAGCCCAGGGCAGCTGTCACCATATCAGACACGGGGGTGTACAGAGCCCTCCAATGACCTGGTGTTTGACTCCTGCCAAGCTCCTGCTGGGTGCAACTGGATCCCGGCCCGGTGGGAGCAAGGGAACACCTTAAGACACAGGCCTGTCTACACCTCTGGAACCCAGGGGTGTTTTTTCCCATTTTATGAACTGCAGGAGAGGGATTGGGAGATTCCCGTATCAATGGGATCAGGGAGGCACAGAGAGGCTAGGAAGCCCTCCCCGGAGCACACAGCAAGATAGAGGCAGCACAGTCTTCTTTTTCAGTCCTCTTTCCGCTCCTCGCCCCCAGCTTTATGGAGGTATAATTGACAAGTAAAATTGTGACATATTTAAACTGTGCAATGTGATGATTCGATATACATACACATTGTGAAATGGTTGCTGCAATCAAGTTAAATAACATGTCCATCGCTTCACATAGGAACTTCTCTTTCAGTGAGAATGCTCTAGATCTATTCTCAGCAAATTTCAAGTATACAATACTAGAGTCACCATGCTGTATGCTATATTCAGCACATAACTGAGAGTTTGTACCCTTGGCCAACATCTCCCTATTTCCCCACCCCTACCCTTGGTAGCCACCACGCTACTCACTGGTTCTATGGGTTTGACTTCTTTTTCTTCAGATTCCACATATAAGGTTTCCTTATACATGTCTTTCTCTGTCTACCTTATTTCACTCAGCCCAATGTCCTCAGGATTCATCCACGTTGTTACAAGTGGCAGGATTTCCTTTGTTTATGGCGAATATTCCATTACACGTGTGTGTTTGTAATAGATATATATAAATACAACATAAAAATAAAAATATATAAATATATTAAATAAACAGATATATTTTTCCATTTCTTTATCCATTCATCTGTCCATGGACACTTAGGTTGTTTCCATATCTTGGCTATTCTTTTTTTTTTTAATTTTTTTTTATTTATTTATGATAGTCACAGAGAGAGAGAGAGAGAGAGAGAGAGAGAGAGAGAGAGGCAGAGACATAGGCAGAGGGAGAAGCAGGCTCCATGCACCGGGAGCCCGATGTGGGATTCGATCCGGGGTCTCCAGGATCACGCCCTGGGCCAAAGGCAGGCGCCAAACCGCTGCGCCACCCAGGGATCCCTATCTTGGCTATTCTGAGTAATGCTGCAGTATATCCTTTGGATATATTCCCGCAGGTAGGACTGCTGGATCATATGGTATGGTTCAATTTTGAAATTTTGGAAGAACTTTCATAGTGTTTTCCATAATGGCTGGACCAATTTACATTCTCACCAACAGTGTCCAAAGTTTCCTTTTCTCCTTGCTAATATTTGTTATCTCCTACCTTTTTGGTAATAGCCATCCAAATAGGCATTAGGTAATATCTCATTGTGGTTTTGATTTGCATTTGATGAGTGACGAGCATATTTTCATATCCCTCTTGGCCATCTGGATGTCTCCTTTGGAAAAATATCTATTTAATAGTTCCTCTACCCGGGCAGCCCGGGTGGCTCAGCGGTTTAGCGCTGCTTTATAGCCCGGGGCGTGATCCTGGGGACCCGGGATCGAGTCCCACATTGGGTTCCCTGCATGGAGTCTGCTTCTCCCTCTGCCTGTGTCTCTGCCTCTCTCTCTCTCTCTCTGTCTCTCATGAATAAATAAATAAAATCTTTATAAAAAAATAGTTCCTCTACCCATTTTTAATCAGATTATTTGTTGTTGTCATTGTCATTGGCTATTCAGTTGTAAAGTTTCCTTCTACATTTTTTTTCCTTACACATTTTGGATATTCTTATCAGATATGCAGTTTACAGATATTTTCTCTTGTTCTATAAGTGGCCTTTTAATTTTTTTGTTTCTTTGCTGTGTGAAAACTTTTTAGTTTAATGTAATGACAATAATGTTTATTTTTACCTTTATCGCCTGTGGTTTTGGTGTCAAGTTTGAAAAAATTATTGTCGGGGCAGCCCCGGTGGCGCAGCGGTTTAGCGCCGCCTGCAGCCTGGGGCGTGATCCTGGAGACCCTGGATCGATTCCTGCGTCAGGCTCTCTGTATGATGCCTGCTTCTCCCTCTGCCTGTGTCTCTGCCTCTCTCTCTCTCTCTCTCTCTCTCTCTCTCTCTCTCTCGTAAATAAATAAAAAAAAAGAAAAAATTATTGTCATGAGCTATGTCTAGGATTTCTTTCCCCTGTATGCTTTCCTTTTAAGAGTCTTACAATTTCAGGTCTTATGTTTATGTCTTTTATCCATTTTGAGTTGATTTTAGTTTACGATGTAAGATAATGGTCCAATTCATTCTTTTGCACATGGATATCCAGTTTCCTAGCACCATTTAAGAGACTATCCTTTTCCCATTATGTATTCTTGGCATTTTAATAGAAAATTAGTGGGTAGGACTGGGTTTACTTCTAGTTTCTCTATCCTGTTCTATTGATCTGTATGTATGGGTTTTTTTTTTTTTTTTGGTCAATACCACACTATCTTGATAACTATAGTTTTCTAATATAGGTTGAAATCGGAAAATGTGATGCCTCCAGCTTTGTTTTTTTGTGCTCAAGATTGTTTTAGCTTTTTGGAATCTCTTGGGTTCCATACAAATTTTAAGATTTTCTTCTATTTCTGTGAAAAAATGCTATTGGAATTTTGATAGGTATTGTATTAAATCTGCAGATCACTTTGGATAGTATGAATAGTTTGGTAATAATTCTTCCAGTCCATAAATGAGGGCTATCTTTCCATTTATTTGTGTTGTCTTCAATTTCTTTCATCAGTGTTTTTATGCTTTTCGGTATATAGATCCTTCACTTCTTTGGTTAGATTTATCTCTAAATAATTTATTCTATCTGATGCCATAGTAAATGGGTTTGTTAATTTATTTTTTGAATAGTTCATGGTTGGTGTGTAGAAATGCAACTGATTTTTGTATGTTGATTTTTGTATTCAGCAACTTTACTGAATTCGTTTATTAGTTTTAACAGAGTTTTGCTGGGATCTTTATCATTCCTTTCCTTTTCATTTTTAAGTAGGCTCCATGGCCAGCATGGAGCCCAACATGGGGCTTGAACTCACAACCCTGAGATCAAGACCTGAGCCAAGATCAAGAGTCAGAACCTCAGCCAACTAAAACACCTAGGCACCCCAGGAGTCTTTAAGATTTCTATATATAAGATCATGTCATACAAACAGAAAATTTTACTTCCTTTCTGATTTGGATGACTTTTAGTTCTTTTTCTTACCTAATTTACTTGCTCTGGCTTAGGACATCCAGGACTATGTTGAATAGAAGTAATGAGAGTGGACTTGTCTCTTCTTGATCTTAAAGGAAAAGCTTTCTCTTTTCACCATTAAGAATGATGTCAGCTGTGGGCTTATTATGTATGACCTTTGTTGTGTTGTGGTACATTCTTTCTATACCTAATTTGTTGAGCATTTTTATCAGAAAGTATACCAAATTTTGTCAAATGCTTTTTCTGCATTTGCTGAAAGGATCGTTTGATTTATATCCTTCATTGTTAATATGGTGTATCTCACTGATTGATTCACAGATGTTGAACCATCCTTGCATCCCAGGGATAAATCCTGCTTGATCATGGTGTATGATCTTTTTAATGTGCTGTTAAATTTGGTCTGCTAATATTTCGTTGAAGATTTTTACAGTGATGTTCATCAGAGATATTAGCCTATAATTTTCTTTTCCAACAGTGTCCTCATTTGGCTTTGGTATCAGAAGAATGCTGGCTTCATAATGACTTTGGAAGTGTTTCTTCCTCTTCAATATCTTGGAAGAATTTGAGAAAGATTAGTATTAATTATTCCTTCAATGTTTGGTAGAATTCACCAGTGAAGCCATCTGGCCCTGGAGTTTTACTTGTTTACTAGCTCTTGACCTGTTATTGTTCTGTTCAGATTTTCTGTCTTC